AAAGTTGAAGTTGAAGAAAGTGAACGATTTCTGTCATTCTTATTGAATCGAAAGCATTGAAAATGTTTTATTCAGTCGATTTTCAGTATATGTTTTATGAAAATTTTCTATAGAAACTTGTCTATGACTTAAATGATGAAGACGTAAACAAAAAATTCTTTTGAGAAGTGATCCCACAACTCATTAGAGATCTTCGAATACTGTTACAATGCACACTAAAAATAGACACAGGTATTGTCAAAATATTAGAGAAGCACAGGTGATTATTTTAGATGGATTAGATGAATGATTTTTGTCTTACCTCGTAAAGTAGAGTTTGCGGTGATTTTTGTGTGACTCCTCCATAATCTATTATCGGTCGACCGTTTGACGTTAGATTTGATTCAGAAAAAACTTTGTTACTCTGCGACATTACTCGAGTGTAAAATGCTGTTATGTTCCTCTTTTCTCGTTCTGCTGTTCTTTTTATATTACTTTTCTTTCTTTTCTTTCATTTCTATTTCATCCAATGCGAGAATTTGAAGTAATAAAGAAATCAAGTTTCTTTGAATGTTTACCTATAAAGGGTATTGTTTTCTTTTCAGTCTTGTCAAGGTTCGATAGATTAAAACATTTGTTTGCATATTATTATTCAACAAATGTATATTCTGCGTTATACCATACGAAAAGAAAATAAGTATTCATAACTCTTTTGATGATACTTCCCAAAGGATGAGGTGTGAGGTGTAGGTGTTTTCTTTTATGAAGTTCATTCACACCCACCCTCAAAACGCTTCTTGTTGATGATAGATTAAATATTGCGTTTTTTTAGCATACGGGTATGCATTGATTTAAATCTGCAATGCATTGTTGTGTAAATTGTCTCGAACATAAATTTCGGCACCTGTGTTGATTAATCTAACATGTTGTTACAATTTCTAATAACGCTGATGTTCCTAAAACGATATTTTTTTTTAATATTTCAATTTGTTTTATCTATAATTCAGGCCAGAACGATAAAACTCATATTCTAAGATGATTGATTTATTCTTCAATAATACATAGTCTTCTTTATCCAAAGGTATTTCACTGTATCTAATTTATCTTCTAATTTATACAACAAACTTTCACTACGTTTTTTGCTAATCATTGATACTATCCTTCTCTTTCTGAACACAATCTCTTTTAAATGTATTAAATAAGATTAACTGCACATGATCAATTTTTTGATCAAGCAAGTCACCAATTGAACGATTCATGTGTCTATTTAACATTTACACTTTACAAAAATTCCAATTTTACGTCTGACCTTAATCGTAACTTTGTTCTCTCTCTGAAAAGTAGCTGTTGATTATTGTCATCATCACGTATCTTTTTTTTTAGCAATATTGTCCATATATGTGAGGAGAGCGTCTTCTGACTGTCATTAAAGACAAGAGGATGAAAAATACTTCATTCGATAGTATATATACATACGAGCATATAAACGAACATATGGTTTTACACTGAAAAGAGAATAATAGAAGTTCGATGACAATTATAATAAGAGCACTTCAACCGAATACTATATTGGAAAAATTTCCTAATTTAACTGTTTGATCTAATTTATCGTTGTTATTAATTAAGAATAGGATTGATTGAGCTGAAATATTGCTAGCAGAACTATAAGTAACAGAAACAACACCTTGTGTTGTTATATTAACAAGAGACAAAGGATTATCTCCAACACTTGATAAAAAAGGGTAAATAATAATTAAAACACTGTTTAATAAATTTCTAAGATAATGAAAATATTTATTATTTAGTACTCTTATTTCTCAATTAGATGGATCAAATGAATAAGTAATAGTATGAGTACGACCAACAACTCTACCATAATTAATACCTCCATACATTGTATAAGTATTATGCATAGTCACTCCATAAGTGACATATTGAGCGATAGAATAAATAAAATCTTGAATAGGAATGGTCGGGCTTCGCAGATTTAAATTAACTTCATTTACGATTTCCAATCCAATTATCAGTTCTAATATCAAGGTGAATATTATTATATTTAGGCTAATGCACATTTTTCAAAGCAATCATCCGAATAATAATCGTTATTAGTATTATTAGTTTTAACATCCATATCTTCATATCTACAAATAATACAGTAACATAAAGAACAAATACATTAAGCCATATAAGAAGACCATTGCATATATACAGTAGCGCATCATCAGAAGAAAATGTATGCGCAATATTATCATATTCATTTTTAATTTGAACCATAAATACTGACCACTATTCAATGAAAATGAAGGACTTGAATATTTGACGATTACTGTAGTGTAAGTTTGCATTTTCATTTGCCATAATTAATTAACAGTAGAAGCTTTAATATCTTTACATGTTTCAGTAAATTGTCTTAGATTAAACTACTATAGGAACATCATTTGAATGAATCGAACGCATATTATCACTAACATTATAAGGACGATTATGAAACTGTAAGTAAGGGGTAAGTATGAAATTGAAATCTGCATGAAACCAACGCATAATACAGCAACTTCATAATTGGAATCAAAGTTCTGGTAGATGTGTCAAAGCTTTCATTTCCAAGGACCGAATAAGCGCTTTACAATATTTTTTTCTGAATTTCTAAATGTTTTAGATGTCTATTGATTTTTTTAAACAGATTACTATGCGTTGTCTCGTTTCTAGAAACAAAAATTTACTTGACATTCGTGTTTCTGTCGACCGAAGAAGAAACTGACATTACTATTTCTAATGAACAGTTACAGTCAAGATTTTATTTTCACAAGTATCATACTATCTCATCGCATTCCACAAAAACACACATCCATAAGACGATGTTATGCATTAACTTCGATTTTATCATCACATGTCTGTGTCTTTTCATATTTGTTTGATCTCTGTAAAAAGAGATTTTATATCGATTTAAAAAGGTTCGACAAGTTCAGAAATCTAATTAGATCCTTTCTCTGGTAAAATTTGGAGAAATATATAAGAAAATACTTTCTTTTGATAAACGTATGTGTTCCATTTGAACAGAGAAACGAAAACAGTAATACTGACATAGGAATCACCTCGTCTTTAGTCAATTGAGAATGAGTATAGAATGATATTAAGTTGCATAAATGTTTGCATGAACAAGTAAGATTTCAAAGAGACTATATTAACTATACCTAATTATTGTATTTTAAAAATATATTGCTTCACAATGAATAATAATTTAACGAAAACCACAATTGTAACTTAAGCTGCAATGATCGATTTTCATCTTTCAATAGGAACTCGAAGTGTTTTCAGCATTGTTGGTACCATTACATAGACACTTTCTGTTAAAACCAATTCCAAATATTCAGATTATGCACCTTCCTTCCACTTATTTTGAATCGATGATTCTATTAGTTTACATACATCTTTTTTTATTTTGATATACCATTTTGTTTCGTCATTTCTTCATGTTGAAACCATTTGTATAATGAAAAACAAAGTTAAGCAGCTCGAAGAAATATTAATTTACAAAATTGCCAATGATGATGTGTACTTATGTCGTGGTGTATTTCGATGCATTTTTATTCTTATCAAAACAAATACATAATTAATACTTTTTTACAATCAATTTACTGGACAAATAATAAAAAGTATAGTATTACAATTGAGGTATGGATACTTCGTTGAAACAATGTATTCATACTTAAAACTGGAAGTAACACTTTAGAATATAGATAATGAAAAGCAAGTCTTCCGTACGATGTAGATGTGGTATCATGAAACACACTCGCGAGCCAATATTAAAGAAAAAAATGATCTTACTCATATCGGTTTGGAAAGACAATAAAAAAAAACGAATAGTATTACATGTTTCGTATAGTAGACTAAAAGAAAGAAAAAAATCATTTTAAAAAATGTTACTCTTTTGTATCTATCTGTACTATTGTTCTTTTTTTAAACTTTTCTTATATCAAACAACATTCACTGGTACAGT